CTCCAGGAGCGATCCGGGCGCTCTCGCTGAGCTTAACAAACGGCGGGCAACCTCTTAGGCCGCAATCTGCACCTCAATGGCGCCGTCGGTGGGAATACAGCAACAGTTTCGCAGTCCCGGCGGGTGCGGAGCCAGAGATCTGAGGTCGTCAGGGTGGCTAGGGTAGGGATATGAAAGGCCTAAATTCTTTCCCAGTCCACAAACAGAGGAAAAGAAGCAAAACTTAAGAGTTCCCTTAAATACACTGTGGCTACGCTTTCGGGGAGTGAATAGCTATGTTCCCGGGTCCAGGATCTGGCCTACAGATCAAGCTCTGGGGCTGTGGCGGCCGCCAGGAAGGTGTCAGTGCTCCCGGCGCCCGGACTCCTGACTTTTAGCGGCTGCTCTGGGCGGCGGGCCCTGGGGCAGCCTCGTGGGGCGCCTAGTGCATGCTCTGGAAGTTGACCATTTTCTGAGCTGAGGGCGGCGCCTGGCCTGGAGCTCTGCCGATCCAAAAGATTGTGTTTGTGTTCAGGTGGGAAAAGAGGGAACATGATGGATCCTAGGGCTTGAATCCCCCTTCCAACTTGCCCAGCCTTCGTGGGGGCCTCCTCTGGCCTGCTCTGCCTAGCTTGGGGCATTTGCTGCGGTCTCCTCAAGGGAGAATACACTCTTCCAAAGCCTCGAGGGGAAGGTTCTTCTTCCTCTTGCCTTTCTTCCACCTGTTAGGGAACGACCGGGTTTGCAGCAGCGCCCAACTCCCTGCGGGACACACGGCAGAAACCTGGGACACCTGAACATTTGGAAAAACAGGTCCAGATGGTGCTAGAGATCGTTACTAGAACAGCTCTGAAGCGAGTCCTGTTGTGAGGAGTTCGACGCAATTAAGAGAGAGAAAGAAAAAGACAAACTTTTTTTGGAGGACAAATGGGGAAGTTCAGTCAGAAAGGAACACTTTTTTCTCCCCTCTCTTCTAACTTTATATACATACATTATATGTGTGTGTGTATGTGTGTATATATATATATATATATATATATATATATATGTAAAAAGGTGGCTCGGTGGAGTAGCAGGCCCCTGTGTGGAGCTGGAGAGCCTGGATTGGCCTACCCGGGACGTTGTGTGCACCCTGGCTTCTGGGTTGCCTGTCCGCCCGGCACTGAGCCGCGAGTGCGCCCGCTTTAGTAACAACACCAAATCATGAAGGAACCCTTCCAGCTTTAATTAAAAAGGGGGATCTTGGGAAAACTGACGCCGATTAGCATAGCCAAGAATTGGTTGCCAGTGACTTATTTGGATGAATGTATGACACCGTATCTAGACGGGCAGGCGCACATATGTCTTATCTATTAGGAATTTCGGTTTAATTCCACAAGCGGCTGTGAGTCTGCATAGGAGTTCTGTATTCTTGTCCATCCCGCATCTAGGAAGCCCGTGGCCCAAACGCCAAGTTTAAATGACAGTCGTCCATAGCTTCCTGCAAACGAGAGGAAAATCATTTAACCCTAGGAGCCGTCAAGTCACTTCTTCAGGGTACAACTTTTATTTTACACGCGCCGCAATTAAGGGATCGCAAACCCCAGCTGAGCGACCAGAGCTGCTTGGCAAAATCTCCAACCTGGGGCGGGGGGTGGGGGGCGCAAAGCTAATAAAACTTCCAAGGCGCTGAGACCGGAGGTTGTGGCTGCGGCGAACCGAGGCAATCTCTTGCTTAAAAAAAACATCCTGGAGTCTTGGTTTGGGGGTTATATTTTAACTGTGAAAGGAAAAATTACTTCTAATCAAATCGGACCGAGCCAATCGGACAGAGCCGAACGGACAGCACCGAGAGCTGCGGTCGGAGGGGTGGAAAGGTGCTGGGAGCTGGACCCAGGCGCGGCCGCTGGACCCTTGGCAAAGCCAGCCAGGCTTTGCAGAGAAAGTCTCTGGCGAGGAGGAAACGGAGATCGTGGAAGGGTAGTGGAGTGGGATGGGAGGAAGTGCGCGGAGCTCTGGGGTAGGAGTGCGAAGGGGGCTCTGGGTCTAATTTAGCGGCTCACTCGCCGCCCAGGCTCTAGGAGGAAGTTCGGGCTCCGGGAGGCCTTTATACCTGGGTTGGAGCGGCCGGCGGCAGGTTGTGGTGCTGGCAAGCAATTGGACTATTGTTGATATGCTAATGAGGCGATTAGGCTGTTGGTAAAGAGCTGGAAAAGAGAAAAGTTTCTACCATTAGAGGGAGATCTCCGAGCGCACACGGGAGCTCTCTCCCTTTTCGCCTCCTCCTCCTCACCCTCCTCCTCCTCGCCCTTCTCCTCCTCCTCCTCGCCCTCCTCCTCCTCCTCCTCCTCCTCCTGCGCTCACCGCCGGCAGCCTGCACTTTGCTTTTACCCAGAGAGTAGCTCCACTTGGGTGCGAGGCAGAGAGGGGCAAATCTGTTCACGCCGATCCATGAAAATGCTTTGGAAACTGACGGATAATATCAAGTACGAGGACTGCGAGGTAAGCGCAGCGCCGGTTCAGTCACCCTCGCGGCCGCAGGCGCGGAGCTCAACCCTCCCGCTCCTCCTCCCTTCCTCGTAGCAAGCTGCGAATCGCGGGTGGGACAAACTTTCCCCAGCGCAGCTCCCGCCCCTCCGATTCGTCCGAAGAACCGCGGGGAGCAGCCGGAGAGGGAGGATGCGGTCGCTCCTTTCTTGGAAAGGAAGTAAAGTGTCCCACTTTTCCCCCTTTCTGACAATTTTGACTGCGCTTAAGAGTGGAGTGAAGAGAGAAATATATATATATATATTTAATTGCTGACAATTGCCCACGCATTTGTGCTCTCCGCGTGTCTCCAGAGCGATTCTGAGGGCCCAAGTCACCAGAAACAGAAAACCTTTTTGCCTCTTAAACTTCCTCTCTGCTTTTTAATCTTCCTTCCTTCCTTGCCTTCTCCCCCGCCCCCCCCCCTTTTTTTTAATGCCTCCAATTTGTGAAAAGATCTTTACTCTTAGTTCTGAGCTGGGTTGCTCTTCTCTGTAATCGAGTTCAATTTGGAGGACGCATCCCGGCAGCAGGGTTGGCTCCAGGTCCTCTCAGATATTCAAGAAGTGCTAAGCAGCTTTGCCCCTGAAAGAGGCAGGGTGTTGGTGAGTAGGTTGAGCGTTGTGGAGCTCGCCTGCAGTTAGATCCCAGTGCACTGACCCCACCTGGCTTCTAGCGTTCGGATGCGCGACCGTGGGAATCCTGGCACTGCTGCCTCTCTGGTGCCGGTGCCTGCCGGACCGATAGAGCGCGCCGCTTTGGAGACCATTACAAAAAAAAAAAAAAAAAAAAAGGGGGTCCCTGGAGCTCGGCTTCTTCGGGAAGCCAGGAAGGCTCCAGCACGACCCGGCTGCTCACGAAAGGCGTTGCGAACTGGCCTGGTGGACCCTGCCTTAACTTCCCTTACAGCTCCCACTGAAAGGAGCGGATGAGTCACCGGGTGGGGGGTGGGGGTGTGTCTGAGAGAGTATCTAAATAAATCGGTGACACTCTCGGCTTTTGCTATTTTTCTTTTATTGGTGGGGGGAGGGTCTCTCCTTTTTTTTTCTTTCTTTCCTTTTTGTCAATCATAGCTGGGAATATGGGGCGGAGAGCTCTGGTTGCGTGCGGAGCGTTGGGGGTCTGGTCTTTACTTGAAATCAGAAACGGTTTATGCGAACGATGTGTCATTAGCCCCTTTCTCCCTTTCCTTTCCCGAGATTGTGTTAAATCTTTGTTTCTAGAAACCTTTCTCCTTTCCGGAGCTCCCCCACCCCTGCCCCGATTTCGCCTTTTTTGCCTCGGGGTTGATGGGGCACAGAGTGGCGTCCCACGGGATCAACACTTCCGCGGTGATTCCAGGGGAGGCGGCGCAGGGACCCCGGGCCTAGGTAGCACACTTTGTTGTTGAGGCTGGGGAGGGAGCTTTTCGGGGAATGTTAGGGTGAAACAGCGCTACCCAGTGCTCTAGGTTGAATAGTCTTGGTCAGGCTGAGGTCTGCAGCTTCAGTATTTCAGTTTGGCGGAGCGGAAGCCAGGCTGGAGTTGCAGGCTCCCGCGGGCGAGGTCCGAGGCTCCGCGAGGCTCTCGGAGCCTAAGGGAACCGGGCGGGAGGCGGAGGATGTTAGCTAGCACCCCCAGAGGGACCCTGTGGCGCGCGCATGTGACTGTGTGTGAGAGCAGGGCAAAGAAGAGAAATGAGAGGGAGGGAGAAGAAATAAAAGTGAAGGCGGTTTCAACAACTTTGTCGAGATTTCTCGTTTGCGAGCACGGTCGAGGCTGTCTGATTCTGCGCGGGGCTCTGCAGGGACACGCAGGAGGCCAAGTGCCGCTTGTTCTGACAGCCGGCGGCCCGGGAAAGCGAGCTGTGTCATCCGGGGGGCGTCGGGCGGGAGTGGCCCAGCCAGTCTGACGGGTTTGTGCTGGGTGCCGGCAACCGGTGCCAGCGGCGCCCGGGCTGGGCCGCCTCGCGTCTTTGCGCTCTCGGAGCCGGGCCTGGGAGAGCCCAAGGGTGGAGCGCGAGGCCCCGGGCGTCCCAGGGAACCTGGAGCGGCGGCTGCGGAGGGGGACAGCTTGGCCCGGCGGGTGAAACGGGTGGGCTAAGCGTTCCCTGAGGGCCGCTGAGCCATGGAGGAACTGCGCAGCGGCGGGCCTCTGGGTCCGGAGTCCCAGGCCCGGTCGCGGAGCAAAGGATCCCGTGGCCGGAGAGGGCCAGCAAGCGCCTCCCGAGCCGAGAGCCCGACGGACGCCCGGCCGCGGTCCCCGGCAGCTCGGGCTGGGGACTTGCGGCTCCCGCGGCATCCAGAGGTCTGCCCCAGCCTTTTGGGTCCGATTGTCCTCGCTGGCTGCTTTTCCCCTCCCCCTCCCCCTCGGAGCGCCGCTTGGCCCCCTCCCCCTCCAGCCCTCCCCTCTCTTCCTCTCTCTCTCTCTCTTCCTCCCTCCCTCCTCTCGGGCTCTCCCTCCTTCCCTCCTCCGTCCCTCCCCTTCTTTCCACTCTCCGGGCTTCTTTCCTTCGCCTACACTTTCTTTCTCACACGCGCACGCAGGCACATCCTCCCTCTCCCTCGCTCCCTCTTTTTCTTTCACTTTTGCCTGCCTTGCCACCTTTTAAAATGTTGCCCCTTCCCTGTGATTCGCCAGCCGCGGCGCCGCGGCCCCCCGCGCGCTCGCCAGCTCCCTCGCCCGCCCGCTTTTTGTCTCGCGCGCGCCCTCGCCCCACCTCCGATTTGCTACACTGAGGCGCCGTCAATGGACTGCATTGAGAGCCGGCTCCGGCGCGAGTGGCCTCGCCGCTTCACGCTGCATTTCCAGGCATTCTTCCCTTATTAAGTATTCGTGTCATATTAATAGTCATGAATATCTGCTATTAGGAGGCTCCAGGAACGCTGCCCGGCGCGGGTATTAGAAGCTCCAGCGAAGCCGCCGCTGAGAGGGGGAGACACGGATTAAGGCACACGCATGCACACACACATTCACACACACTTTCTTTTTTCTCTTTTTCTCCGTATTTGGGGTTGCTAATTTTAAAAAGAACTCTGAATCCGAACATATCGCGCCAGGATAGAGACCGTGTGTTCGACCAACTGAAGGCACCGCGCGAATCGGTGGTTCAAGTTCGGATGGAGCCGAGCGGGGCGCCCGCGCCCGGCAGAGCCTCGGCGCGGTGACTCGAGTCCTGGGTGGCGCGGGGCTCGCGGCGCCTTTTGTGTGGGGCTCGCTCGGGCGGCGGGGCAGCCCGGCTCTCCAGCCTTGCTGGGTTTTTTCCACCCTGACTCGTTACCCCAGACTCTTCGCAGATGTTAGTTCACAGTTTTTCAGCTATGGTGAGTCCCACCCCCACCCTTCTATCCATGTTTCTTTAGGAATTCTACTCTGGAAACCTGGGGCCGCGAAGCTGCCTGGTACCTCGGGTTTCACCCCCAGGTTTCCTACAGGGCACCCTCTCATTTGCGTTCCCCTCTCCTCCTTTCTCTTACTCTTTTCCATCCCTAATTCGAATGCATTGTGCATCCCACTTGGCCTCTCCCCGCGCGCAGACCTACCTCGCTGCTGCTTCTCAAAGCGTGTTTCTCGCCACGTTCATCTTTATATTTCCTCTAGTCTTCACTTGTTCCCGAAATGTTTTCAGAATTGATGCTTAATCCGTAGGCAGGAAAAATGCAGCCCAGTGTGCCCCCTACTCTTGGGTCCCGCTGCTGAACCTCCGAGGGTTTACACTCCCTGGAATCAACTCTGTTCACTTGTATTGCAACCAAATTGCAAGAGAGGAACAAAAAGTCAGGCGTTTCTTCTGCCCTTTGGGGCTGAGGTGGAAGGGGCGGGGGCCTCCGCCCTGGGGTGCACCTCTCTCTTTTAAACCCAGTAAAGCTGAATCTTTCTATTTCAAACCTTTACTTGCCGTCCCCCACCACCATCCCATCCATATCATAAATCGACCCTGTCTAGAAAAAGGCTTCTAACTGAGGAAGCGGAAAAGACAGATCCCCGATCCTGCAGTTAAAACCTTCTTTAAGCTAGTAATTTAAACGTGTGCGTTCGTTACAGCCCCTCTGCGAAATATGTTTCTATTTAAATAGTCATGAAATGGTAACAGCCTTTGAACGTTTATGATTTTTTTCCTTGAAATAAATGAACAGGGTAAACAATAACGCAGTGGCAGGCAGGTTCAAATCCGGGAAAAAAGAAAAGGCCGCTTCTAGTGTTTAATATTTAGTAGGAATTTTAATTTTACTTGAGAGGTTTCACCCTGCTGCTTAACGGGCTGTATTCCGGGAAGCGTTTTTCTCTTTTTCCCCCTACTTTGAAAGAAACGCCTCCGGAGAGTCTCTTGTGCCCCCACATTTGCACTATCTAATTCCGCTGCGTTTTTGGAAGGGCCCTTTTACTTCTTGGGTATTTTCTGGAATGAATAACTTAGAGCTGATCGTTGTTTCTTGGTGGGCTGCGGACATGAGCCGGCCGTTTGCCACACTGGTTTGTGGAGTGGATTTAGTGTGCACAACTCCGACTCGCCGCCTGATTTCTTATTCTTTCCTGTTCTCATCCTCTTTTAGGACCGTCACGACGGCACCAGCAACGGGACAGCACGGTTGCCCCAGCTGGGCACTGTAGGTCAATCTCCCTACACAAGCGCCCCGCCGCTGTCCCACACCCCCAATGCCGACTTCCAGCCCCCCTACTTCCCCCCGCCCTACCAACCCATCTATCCCCAGTCGCAAGATCCTTATTCCCACGTCAACGACCCCTACAGCCTGAACCCCCTGCACGCTCAGCCGCAACCGCAGCACCCAGGTTGGCCCGGCCAGAGGCAGAGCCAGGAGTCTGGCCTCCTGCACACGCACCGGGGGCTGCCCCACCAGCTGTCGGGCCTGGATCCTCGCAGGGATTACCGGCGGCACGAGGATCTCCTGCACGGCCCACACGGACTCGGCTCAGGACTAGGCGACCTCCCGATCCACTCCTTACCTCACGCCATCGAGGACGTCCCGGTAAGAGGCCGCCCAGGCGGCGGGGACGCGAGCGCAGCTCCTACTCACCCACCTGGGGTATGAGTTACTTGTCACAGATGGGCCCGGATTTTCCACAATAATATTTCTTTATTATTTTTTTAATTTTAATTTTGGGGGGAAGTGGGGGTGGGGATGTTTTGAGGCCCTTCAGAGACAGCCAAACTAAAAAACAAAAAGTAAAGTTGAGAGTTATGTCCTTAGAACAATGGTTCCCGGAGCTCCCTTTAACAATGCCGGCATTGCCATTTCCACCAACACAGAAATAAATCAGATGAATGTCACCGTGTCTTTCTCTCGCGATGACAGTAAACTGTTTCGATTGGGACAGAATCTAATTCCACTGTTGGGTCTGGCGGTGGGGATTTCTCTCTGTTCTGGGAAAGATGTCAAATATAACCGAAAATGTTCATTAAATGCTCTCGCAATTAAACGAACAAACAAAAAAGTGTACAAGACATACTAAGAAAACATTTTTTTTTACAGAATTTTATGAACAATAGTGAAACCCAAAAGTTACATGTACACCCTATCCTGATTAAAGAAAAGCAAGCAGCAAATCCGAGCTGAGGGACCTCTTCCTAGGGGTGCTAAGTGGTGACCTCATAAATCATTAGCTGAGTTCCCAACGCCTATAAGAATTCGCTACACATATTAAATTAAATGTTTTGAAATTGTTGGGTAATGCATTATTTGAGTTCTAATTCAGTTATCAATAAATGCAGTTTAAAATGATTTCTAAGTAAGCATGGCATTAGCACATCTACTATTTACAATGAAAACCAGGCTATTGATAATTTGAAAATACTTTCTGAAATTAAATTTGAACCAGCATCTCTACTTCAATCCTACATATTTATGGTTCCCTCACAACCTTCCTGAAATGGAATTAGAACAAGCCAATAATTTTATTAAAGCTGTAAAGGCTTCTGTTAAAGCTGCTTTTCTTTGGAGAGGAAATGTATCTGGATGTGATTTTTGCTAAAATGCTATTTCAAATTACTGCATCAAATATTGCAGCAGTATGTCCGTTGACAGTTTAATGATTACTGCATTAGATTGCAAAGAAAATGGTCAGATGAACTTACCTGCTTACTTGGTGAATTTAAAACATTATTTAAGTTCCATAGGAAAATAGAAAATTTATTGCATCTCTCATTTGGCTCCATTTTTCACTGAAATTTTTTGGTTATGCTTAGCAGGCTTGTATGGAAAGCAGAAAAGAAGGCATTTAATCCAATGTAGGGCTTAGTAAGCAGTTTATGTGGATATGCTTATACTCATGTGTTTTAGACACTAATGCTTAAATTTTTTTAAATATAAGAGCAATCGCTTAGAAAAGCTTTTTTTTTTTTTTTTTTTTTAATGGATAGTTGTGATTGTTTTAGTTCTCCTCAATCCTGTTCCTTGCCTGGTCTTTGGGAATATTTGAAGTGCAAAATAATGTTGTAAGCTTTTCAAACAATTGTGATTTAGAATTGTTCTACATCGTGAAAATTCCAAGGTGGATGGAATTCTTGACACCTGTACAATTTCTCTTTGTGATAAAATTGGTCAGTTAGGCAAAATTAACCAAAAGATCAAATGAAAACAGGCAAATGCATTTGCTGGTCTTCCCTCTCCTCCCCCATCTTTTAAGAAAAAGTTCTTTCAAAGGAATTTGGGTCAGGAAAAGGGTTGTTTTCAATTTTCCCATCGCTGCAACAGTTAACCTTTAATAAGAATGACTGCTAGATATTTAAGAAAATCAAGTCAATGGTGAAAATTATTTAATCATTAATATCTCAGTGGGGTTTTAAACTTAACAGTCTTCCCTGTATAGACAAGGTTTAGAAATAACACAAATAAAAGTATTATGCCACACTACATTTACTTTATGGGTTTAGGGTGCATGCATAAAGGGATCATATTTCCCCATATAGTTAAAACACAAGAACTGCAGCAGTAGTCATTTCTGAACATTTCTCAATTTAATTATACTTAAATCCAGAAGCACTTTAGGCAAGTTACAAATGAGAGCATTGAGTATAATAAAACCTGTAATAAAGCAACTTAGTACCATCCACCCGGAATCATTGCGATCAGGCACAATTAACAGGAGCATAAATCCAAGACAGAATGGAAAATGTTTGAATCAGTATTATTGTTGGACAAAGACTAGAGAAGGAAGTAATAGTTTTTTAAATGGTAATGCCTGTGTTTGGTAACGATTGTGAAATCTTCTATCTCAGCAGCCCTGGTGCTAATTTGTAAACACAGCCAGACATTATATTGCCTGTCAGTTTCTGCATTAGAAACATGATTTCATTTTACTTTCTAATCACGTTTTGACTCTAGCACACACACATATACACATCCATCTGTGGAAGAAAAAAAGAGAGAGAGAAAAGAAAAGGAAAAAAAGCACACCATACCTGCTGCTGGACAACAAGAAAGCAACCTCAGAGGCTTTTTATTTTTTAAATCTTTCTTATATTCCTGTTTGATACACAGTTTAGGCAGAAGCATTTTTTAAAAAGCTATATTCTAGTCGTCCGTAAGTGAAGGTGTATAGATACATTAGCTCTTTATCACATTACCTAAAACGTTTCCAAACAGCTTGTATGCTCCCCAGCTACTCCCAACTCTGCTATTTCTATTGTTTTTCTCGGTCTTTGGTTGTCTGAATGCTGGGATCACCAAAGTCCAAAGCTGCTAGAGGCGCCAAACTAAAGCTAGAAGCATTTTTAGAGGTTGAGCTGACTTTGAAAGATTAGGTGCTCCAAAACTTGATTCAATTTCCAAAGAAAGTTTTATTCTCCCACCACCACACCCTTCAATGTGGATTGTTGGCTAGGGGAGGAGAAATTGGCTGTAGCTGTGCAGTGAAACCTCTTGAGCTGCAAAGCCCCAAGTTCCAATAAGCCAAGATGAGATGTTTATATATAAATGTTCATTATATAGGAGAGAGAACTTCAATTCTACACCTTCCCCTCCCTCCATCTTGCATGGAATATTCATTTCCTTTTGTTTTGATTATACACTTACATCCATGTGTGTATCCTTTTGTTGCAGCATGTAGAAGACCCGGGTATTAACATCCCAGATCAAACTGTAATTAAGAAAGGTAAGCCATTTCCTTCTGCATTCCAAACATGTCCTTACAGGCACAGTGCTATTTAAAAGAACTTTCAGTGCTGTATTTATTTTTTTCAAATAGGATTTCCTAAAGGCTCAGAATTAGCAAATAGATAGGCATAGAACAGCAGTGCTTACAGGATCGGTTTTCAATCTGTTAGTAATGGCAACAGGCTAGCTTTGACTCATGATTTGACCATTTTAAATGATATCTAGACAAACAAATAAGATGTGCAATACTGGAGCTGATTTCAATTTTTTTAGTTCAGTTAATTCATTGTATGAGTGTAAAGAAATGTATAATGGTGAAGTACTGAAAATAATTTAATATTAAAATAGGACAAATGATGAAAAAAAAACAGCTCTCATCAGTTTTTTAAAAAATTCTTTCATGTATTTCAATTTAGTTTCTTGTTTGATGTTTAAGCTTTGTGAATTAGGTTAACTAAAACTTGGCTTTTAAATTTAAAATCAGTATCTTCTGAAGATGTCAAGATTAGTAGCATATTTGTTCTGAGCATAATTTGTTAACAGAAAAGTGTCAAGTGATTTGGATGGATTTTTAATTTGCATCGTGTTTAGTGAATAGAAATAAAGTTTACTGGATTAAATGCTATTCACTCTCGGTAGCAGCTTTTTTTTTTTTTTTTGGTTTTGGTGGCAATGTTACATTTCAGGATTCTAGGCACCACCAGAGAATGATGCTATATAAAACTGTTCTCATTTCTAACCCCAATCAGTATATTGTTAGCTAGTTTAAAGTTTCATTTTTGCATCGGTGAAGCCTTTGTCACGTCAAATTAGATGTGCGAGGGATAAATCTTAAGAGATGCTCTTTCCAAGTCGACATGATAATTGGCTCTTTTATTAGTAATCTCTCAAGAGTTCGTTTAACTCCTATTGTCTCTATTAGCCTCCCCAGAGCTATTAATGTCACAAGTGATCTATCCAAAACCTAGAGTCCCCCCCCACACACACACACACCATACATCTAGAATATCCCCATTAAGGAACGGGTAAGGGAGGAGCACTGTGATGAGAATGTGTGCATATTATTATTAGATATGTCTCCATGTGGAATTTTTAAATACAAATGCATACTGTACTTAAATGGTTGTGAATGCATATGAACTATATTGGTTTTGAGAAATGCAGCACATCAGTACACTTTCTGCTAGGCTTGAGTTTTTTAAAACAATGGTGGGTCAATGAAGAGCTTATGGTTTTAACTTGAAAGAAAACACCCCTGACCCCTTCCCCTCTAAAAAAGCAGCTTAAGCAGTAATTGCTCAACAAAAGGACGCATTGCTAGTATTCCATGGTAGGCCTGATCTTCATCACCCTTCCTCTCAGTTCAAAACTGGGCTTGGAATAATAGATCTCCAAAACCTGAATCTTTTTCAGAACTGAACACAGGAAGGAGCCTATTGATTAAAAAAAAAAAAAAAAAAAAGACCGGCATGTGTGATGTGAAACAGAACCCACATCCCAGCCTGGTGGTGCCTTAACTGAAATGCTCATTTACAGGCTGCTTTTGATTTTAATAACCCCTCTTTGAAAAAATTTCTCCCTGATCCTAAAGCCTTCACTCCATGAAACTCTTAAAGTACACATAACTTGCTCTCCAGATCTCGATTTGTAAATGTAACCCCTCCCCCCCAAAAAAAACCTTACTCCAGCACCTTATATAGGGCCCACTCTCCTCGGATGCTGAGGGCTGAGGATGGTCACAATTTCATCGCTCATCTCCAGAACCCAAGAGAAAAGGGTCCAGGCAGAAAGGCAGGACTGGCCAAGGGGGGTGAGGTGGAGTGGGGTGCGCCGCGGGGCAGGGCTGGACCTTGAAGACAGGCAAAGAGTAAGGGATGGAAAGGGAGGTGGGAAACTGGGAAGAGAGCTATCTAGTTTGAGGTGGGCGGGAAGAAGCACGTGTCTGGGCGCAAGCCTGGGGACCGCCGCTGCCGGGAAGGAGGTTACAGTCAGGGGCCGAATTTGGGGGATCATCGATGGCCACACGAGACCTCGTCTATCTCTACAGGCCCTGTGTCCCTGTCCAAGTCAAACAGCAACGCCGTCTCCGCTATCCCTATTAACAAGGACAACCTCTTTGGCGGAGTAGTGAACCCCAACGAAGTCTTCTGTTCAGTTCCGGGTCGCCTTTCGCTCCTCAGCTCCACCTCGAAGTACAAGGTCACGGTGGCGGAAGTACAGCGGCGCCTCTCTCCGCCTGAGTGTCTCAACGCGTCGCTGCTGGGAGGAGTACTCCGGAGGTGAGGCCCGGCCCAGCCCCGCCCGTCCGCGGCCGGCAGAAACACTGCGCCTGCGCCGAGCGGTGGCGGCGACTCCGGCGGCTCCGCTGCCAACAGAACTCGCTCCGCGGCCCTCCCTCCGCCGGAAAAGAAAGGGGCGGGAAGAAAAGCGTAGAACAGAGTGGGTGGGATCCGGGGGCGGGGCGGGGCGGAGCGCGCCTGCGCTCTCCGCCGCCATCCCGCGTTCTTGGGGGCCTGGTGCGCGCCCCCGGTCCCCGCCTCTGGTGCGCAGGCGCAGGTAGATGTGCCGCGGGGTCAGTCCCGGCTGCTGCAGCCGTGGGGCGCCGTGCAGCCGCATTTTCCTTCTCGCGCACACCTTGCAAGCCCAGGAAAAGTTGTTTTCTGCTCTCGCTCAGCCTTTCCCTAGTGTAGACACTCCGACCGTAACCACCCGTCCTTTGAATAGAGTTTTAACAGTGGCTTTTAACTAAAGGAAGGCAGTGGCTTCCTTTCGAGTCTGCGCTCCACGACTGCCTGTGCCACAGGCGCTAGCATTTAGTTGTCCCGATTTATTGGGGCCCTGATGTGTACCAGGCTGAGTGCAAGGCTCGTTTACATGCATTGTCTGTTGTCAGCATTAAAAAACACATCCATTACCTACTGAGCCGAGAATTTTCCCCTTCCCACTGCAAGGTTGGAATGATTCACAGATAAGATTTCTTTAGGGTCAGTGAGGTAAAGTGCCTTCTCTCTCGGCAGCTTTCTCGCTTCTCGGGACTTCATCCTTCTGGGGGGTCCACCCAAAGTTGTGAGTGGTGGATCTTTTGTTGAACTTAACCCAGATAATATTTTTCTTTGCTTTTTTTCTTTTTAAAAGGTAGACCATGAACTTCATTTTTGTGACATTTACTCATTTGTCGATATATTAAGGGGACCTCAGTTTCGCTTTGATACCTATATCCCACGCAAAGCCTATAAAACTGTTTTGGAAGGTTTTAACATAAGCTGTTCAGATCTTTTCCTCCTTCCGTCGTGGTCACTTTGCTTTCCCTTTATACTCTTCCATTGGCATAGATCTTTCTCTGCCCTCTGCCTTCCCCTCCCCCAATATTGGAGACTGTTTACCTAGGGGAGTATAATCTAATCCACACAATTAAAGAGCACTTGAGTAGGGAATAAAATCTGAAATTAATTAATTTGCTGTTGTATTTAAACAATTTATCTTAACCACTTTCTGATTATGGGAGTCTGTTTAGACATCTGTTTAGAACTGCCTCCACTGTCCCTGAAATCAGTGAAATTTTTAAAGGCTGATATCAGCCTTTGACATTTTCAGTTAGGCTGGTGACATGGCATGTAAGCAGTTGGTGAAATGAATTTCCCGTTGGGGCTAAAGCCAGAACCACTCTCACAAGTGATGATAACTTTGGTTACTGTGAACAACCTAACACAGATCTTGCAAAGACAATTTAAAGACCCCGTTGGGATTTGTGTGATTGTAACAACAGGGAAAATATACAGAAATCAGCTGAACTAAAAAAAATGCCTCAAACTCCAGAGATCAGAGCTGTGTTTGTTTGTTTGTGGTTCTTCTTTAGTGAGTTGGGAAATGAAAACCTCTCAACCTGCCATCATAGTTGCAAGAATAATGAACACAGGAGGTATTTTACAGTTTAAGAAACATTTATGTCCTGTGATCTTTCTGTAGCATTCCTTCCTTAGTTCCCTGCCCTTGTCTCGTGGCCATGCTTCTCAGTGTTTGAAAAGCACATTTTAGAAAGCTTTCAAAATGACCATAACGTGATAACATGATGCAGAATGACTTAGTGTTTTATAAATCCCTTTCTTGCATCCTGTGAAACAGGGCGAAGTCTAAAAATGGAGGAAGATCTTTAAGAGAAAAACTGGACAAAATAGGATTAAACCTGCCGGCAGGGAGACGTAAAGCTGCCAACGTCACTCTGCTCACATCACTAGTGGAGGGTAAGTGAGTCTCTTTGCTAACTAGAAAGGAACTGTCTTCTGGGAAAATGGGTAATGTTTAGTAGGCAGATATTTGGTTGTATTTTGTGTCAGTTGGGCAAGTTTCCTCTTTCCAGACACTATTCTGGAAGTGAACTGAATTCTTGAATGTCAAAAATCTGTTTGCATATAACTCTATCCTTCCTCTCTCCCCCTCTACCACAAAATTATACCTCTCCAGCTCAGTTCTGACCCAAACAATGTGAACATTCAAGAAGTGCATATTCTCTGAGTCCCTCACTCCTTTCAGGAGCTCAGCAGTAAATCACTTAAGTTATTGTGACATCTGCGTTTGAGAAATGCGTGACCATTACTTCCTGAATTAATTTGGGAATCCTTGACCTGCATCCTGATTTAAGACTGTCCTGAAAGCTCAGGGTTATATGCCCTTTTAGATTTTTGTTTTCCAAACATATGCTCCCTTATCTGTCTTTTAATCGTGCTACTTCTTCTGGAGGGGAAGGAAAGAGAGCAATTTGAATTGCTTGAATATGAATGGAAACAAGAAATAGAAGCAATGCTAAAAGTTTCTCATAGCAGTTTGTAAATACTCAGACACATAAACTCTCTAAACAAAAAGCTAACCTTGCCCTCATTCCTTGCTCTAGATAGACTGTCACCAGAATCCACTCACTTTCCTGCTTCCTCTAGATTACTCTTGATTTTCTGACACTAAATTGTCTTATGTTTGGGTGTATTGAAATAAATGTATAATGCACTTGTGTTTTCTTTTATGTCCTGTTGAAAGTACCTCATGCTAACGGGGAAAAAAGGCGCTTAAATACAAGGCAGATTAAAAAACTGGCAATTATATTTAAAGAAGGCATTTTATCTTATTTACATCTTATATTTGAAGTACTATGTTAAAATTAAGTCCAAGTTCTAGTTTTGTAAATTATTTTGAAAATATTTAAAACCATGACTTTGAGGAGGAATCCTATGAATACCATTTGTTAATGGTGTCAGAGACAATAATGCTATAACTGTTAAATGCTATAAGCAGTTATTCAATGCCAGAAACTCAACTACAGTAGTATTATATTAAAAATAAGACCAGAATATAAAGAACCCACTATCCATACTCCGAAAGAGTTATATGCAAAGAAATGGTAGTGGTGGCTTAGGCTGTAGCGTGAGAATGCCTATGAGTTTGTGGGCTGAGTCTTGTGGTAGGGAGGCAGTTTCTGGAGAACTGTTATTGTTTGTGATCCGCTCCATTTTATGGAAACAAGCTCTGCGGAGAGGGCTTTGATGCTCTAATTGGCGCATGCGTTCTTCCGGAGCTGGAGCTAATGGCAGGAAGCCCTGCAGTAAAAACCAACTGGTTCAGGAAATTAAAACCAAAGATTTGAAAATCAACAACACAGACAGACTCAGTGGAGTGACCCTCAAATCCTCATGGTTAATCGTTTTGGATGAACAGATAATTATATGTGATCAAGTTAAAATTTAAACCCTTAGTTGTTCTCTTGCCGAAAAGCTCAAGAAGTAATTGTGAATATCATTTATGACTGTGTTGATAGGTGTGAGGTTGCAATTCAAGGAACATTTTAAAAAAGAGGTTGGAAAACTGTCATTCAGGGTGGGGTGGGGGTGGAGGATGACGGGGAGATTAACAAACATCTCTTGTCATTCTGGCCTTCTAGAACAGTGGCCATATAAATACATTCACCAGATTCTATAGAGGACGAAATAAAAAGCCTGAATTGAGAAACCAGTAGTTTCCTTCAACATCTGGGTGAATAAAATAAGAAATCTGGGAGTGGGGAGAAAGCTTGGTTATCATGTGTTGACCCCTCCACTGTGAGTTTTGGTCCCAGCTCTTCATTCTCTTGCACCCACCTCCTTCTCTCCGTCTCTTGCCAGGAGAAGCCGTCCACCTAGCCAGGGACTTTGGGTACGTGTGTGAAACAGAATTTCCTGCCAAAGCAGTAGCTGAATTTCTCAACCGGCAACATTCCGATCCCAATGAGCAAGTGACAAGAAAAAACATGCTCCTGGCTACAAAGTAAGGCATTTACTTCAGGCGGAGTCTCTGTGTCTCATTGTCAAGAGAAACAGAAATAATTTTCTCACTTCTTTTTCTCCTCTCCTCTCCCTTCCTGTTATGTTAATCAGCTTTGTTGTTAATATTGATAAATGAACCATACTTGATTTTAAAGGGGAAATAAAAATGGGAGTGTTAATCTCTGCCCACCCCCACCCCCGCCCCACTGCCCCAATCTTTTCCTGTTTCTCTCCATCTTCTCTCTCTCCCTTTATGTTAATGTATTTGGGCAGGGGATTATAGTGGGAGTTTGATAGAAGCTGAGTTTAGATTTGTGGCTACTTGTTTCAGAAAGACCAGAATCAAATCCTCATGGAGTAATAGGCTTGCCTAGGTCCATTTTTGTCTCCTATCAATATGTTCTCCAAGAGCAAAAGATTGATCAGTGGCCTGCAAAATGTGCAAGCCAGAAGCTGTCCTAGTTTTATCCCTAATCCTTATTCCATTTTATACCTTCCTTTTCTTTCCCTCCTTGAAAGTCACACACACACACACACACACACACACACGTTTTAGCTTACAAGTGAGATGTAAGATAAGTTTCAAAATGACCCAACTTCTATTCCCATCAGTAGCTGGGCTGAATAGGCTTCTCCATGTGATGTGTGAAAAGTAAATGACTGTTGTGATATATTTTCTGGAAATTAAAAGGCTTGTTCAGAAGCCCTTTATTATCAAAGTAGATGTCACATGAGGACATTGAACCAGAGAGCAGAGGCTGAGGCCTAAGACTGGAATCAGTTTCCAGCCTGGGGACGTCAGCTGGCCTTGCAGTAGGAAGGCAGCTAGTGCATCCCATCCCCCTCCCCAAGGCCAGGGCATGATGCTGCTTCCTCAGGAAGGCTCCAGCTTTTTCTTGCCTTCCAGACTCAGGGACAGAGCTTCTGGCCACAGGCCTCCTCTGCTGACTTTTAAGGCCCTTTCTGAAATTACACCTTATTCTCTTCTCTTTGCTCTCTAAGCCCCTCCACATCCACTTTCTCTAATGATTTTCTTTCTTCCTCTTTCTCTTTTTGAGTGTGAAGAAAAAGCTGGAAATTGGGAATGTCTATTTCTTCTTTTCCTAGACCACCCAGAATTATTCCCAAATAACATAAGTGAAAGATATGTTAATTTTGCTCATCTTTATATCCTAGTACTTACTATGTAATTAACGTTCCATAACCAATAACTATTTATTGTAAGACTAAACACATTAGTGAAGATTTTAATTTTTTCAAGGCAAAATAATTCCATGAAAAATTTTACCTTTCTGTTTGAATACAAAAGAACTCTAGTGGTATAATAGTTAAGGCATTTGGCTTCTAACCAAAAAGTTGGTGGTTTGAACCCACCAGCTGCTCTACAGAAGAAAGATGAGTCAGTCTGCTTCTGTAAAGATTTACAGCCTTGGAAACCAACGGGGGTTGCTATGAGTCAGAATTGACTCAATGGCTGTGAGTTTGTTTTGGTTATTGGTTTGAATACAACCTGAGCTGAAAGTGTCTGGGTGGGTAACTCCTCTCACAAACGATTGCCAAATCTCTGTAGAGGAGCAGAGAAGAGGATCTCATTAACATTTTGAACAGGATAGATAATGACTGCATAATTTTGGTGAGATGTTTGTATTTCTGACTCCTTGTCTAATTCCTTTGGGAGCTCTGGTGGTGTAGTTGTTAAAGCATTCAGCTGCCAGCCAAAACGTAGGCGGTTTGACTCTACCAGCCACTCTGCAAGAGAAAGATGAGGCAGTCTGCTTCCATAAAGATTTAGAGCTTTGCAAACCCTATGGAGCAGTTCTACTCTATCCTCATAGGATAGCTATGACTTGGAATTGACTTGATGACAGGTGGTGGGTTTGGTTTTTAGGTTTGTCTAACTCCTTTGTTTCTCTCCCAAAGTGTGAAGTGTATCCCCATGTCTAGGGTGTTTGGTGTGAGGGAGAAAGGTGAGGAAAGAAGTTTGATGTATCTAAGGGAGGAGTGTGTGTGCGTGTATGCATGCATGTATGTATGTGTGTACATGGGGGAGAAAGTTGTTAGTTGTCATAGAGTTGATTCTGACTCATGGTGACCTATGTGTTATGGAATAGAACTGCTACATAGATTTTCTTGGCTGTAATCTTTAAGGAAGCAGATCATCAGGCCTTTTCTTCTGCAGTACTGCTGGGTGCATTTGAACCACTGACCTTTAGGTTAGCAGTAGAGCACAGACCGTTTGTGGCCACAAGAGAAAGATACAGATATTGGTTAATGTAGGGAGGGAGTGAATTTAATGAAGGAGAGATGTTTTTGTGAAGGCTGAGTGGTGTGACTGGGTCTCCCAAACTAGTTATCACCAACTCAGTCTCTGTGAACTTGGGTTGGGTCAGGTCAGGTCCCTGCTAGATCAGGGCTGAGGTAACTGCACCTGAGAGAGGTTTTCTAGTTGCTACTGGCGCTGCTCACAGAGGAGCCTCACTTCTCTCTCTGCTCCCCTTGTGTTGCAGACAGATATGCAAAGAGTTCACCGACCTGCTGGCTCAGGATCGATCTCCCCTGGGGAACTCCCGGCCCAACCCCATCCTGGAGCCGGGCATCCAGAGCTGCTTGACCCACTTCAACCTCATCTCCCATGGCTTCGGCAGTCCGGCAGTGTGCGCCGCCGTCACAGCCCTGCAGAACTATCTCACCGAGGCCCTCAAGGCCATGGACAAAATGTACCTCAGCAACAACCCCAACAGCCACACGGACAACAGCGCCAAAAGCAGTGACAAAGAGGAGAAGCATAGAAAGTGAGGCGTGCATCCTGCCCTGCCCTCTCCCTCTCACACCTCACCAGCCCTCAGTACCCACCTGCCCTCTCCTGCCCCCACAGCCCACCCCCTGCAGGCGACAGCTCCGGGAACCCCTCTCCTGCTGCTGCTATTGCTGCTGCCGCTACCACCCTTCGCCCTCGGTCCTCCCAAGTCCCCGAGAGGGGCAGCCACTGCTGACTCAGCCCCTCTGCCTCAACTTCCCCTTTGGCACCAAACCCCCTTGCCCTCATATGGAGCCTAAGAGAACAGAACAGGCCGTGAAGCCAGCAAAGAAAAGTTCTGTCAGTTTGTGAACTTTTTTTAAAAAAACAAATCAACAGCAACAGACAACAACAACAAAAAATAAATAAAAACTTTTTTTCTAAAAAAAGAACATAAAAATTAAAAAAAAAATTATATGAGCTTCATGGGACTGAATCACCATCTTTCCTTACATACTTCAGTTCAGATTGTAGCCATACTTAAAAAAAAAAAAAAGGCAAAAAGGATAATGACATTTTTATCAGTATTGTGAATAAACTTGAACACAAAATACACGAAGTTCCATGTCATATCTTCAGTTGTAGAAGTTTTTCCTCTTCAAGGTAAAGCGACCAACTTGAACTTTCTCTGACAACACGATTCACGGTTATATAAGGGAATCAGTGTTCATGTCTCTGTATATATTTATTTATGTGTAATTTAATGGGAATTGTAAATATGGTGAGTCTGTTTTAAGCCTTCCCCCCCTTTTTTTAATTTATCTGGTGATCTCGTTTACCTCTTGTTTAGTGGGTTTTGAATCTTCCCTATTAGTTTTTCATGTGGTTCATAGTACTTATTTAGAAATCCAAGGTTTGGGGGATTTTTTTCTCTGGGATTCATGAATTTAGCCCTGTTGTAGCATGTTAAAGGCAACAATGAAACAGCTGAACAAATTATAAAAAAGTAAAATAAAATTTTATATAATTAGTATTACATTTAGCTTTTTTCATTGGACTGAAAGGAAAAAGAAGTGATATTGGATCCTGCAAAGATTTTTAAAACTTGAGTGGTTTTATAACCCTTTTATGTATTGTGGGGAGAAGAAAAAAGTTTATTTTATTCTACTGTCCTCCCTTAAAAGCATCATTTGAGCAATAAATGGATATTGTCTTTAAACCAAGGGTTAGGGATTTTTCCTTCTCTCTCTCTCTCTCTTTCTCTCTTTTTGTTCAAAGAACTTCAAACATTTGGGACCACCTGGTATTCTGTATTTTCACTGGCCATATTGGAAGCAATTCTAGTTGTATTGTATTGAGTTGTGCTGGCAGTAGTTTCCATGCCTGTCAATGTATCATAGTCCTTTGTTGCCCAGATAAATAAATATTTGATACGCTTTATGTCGATTTTTTTTTTTATTCAGTGGCTGTCTTTACCCAGGCGTATTTTTGTTCTTGGCAGTATTTTTTATTCAGTATGGTTACAGTAATTGAGTTTAACTCTCCCTTGGCAATTGCTCCTTGCAATAAGCAGCTGAACCCATTGTTTCCCTCAAGTATAATAAAAACTTACTTTCAACTTGGAGTTCAGAGCAGGGTATCATTTAGATATTCCACTGAGTCTGTATTCAGACAAATGACACAATAAAACCCAATGTATTCTTTTGGATAAAAGATTGTTTGTACTGCTAAAGGAATGACATACTACCTTTTCCTTACTAGAAACATTAATTTTATTATTAAAAATAAAGTTTTATTTTATTTATGTTGATCCCTTAGGCTTTCATTTGTGTTTTAGAAACCAAAATATAAAACCTCTGTAGCCAAACCTTAAGAATGACAAGAAGGTGGAGAAGAGAAGAACCCCTTTCCCCTATAACTATGTACTTTGGAATCTGTCTCAGAGGATGACTGAAATTTAAATTGTTAGCTCATTAGCACAAAGGAAACACTTGCATTCACTTGCTCAAGCAGGTTTCTCTATGGCTAAGACATGTAAATGAGCTAAAACTGAGAAGAGAAAAGGCCCAGTGACTGAAATGTATGAGGAGCTGGGAAAGGGAGGGCAAATTGTTTCCTACGTATTTTAATATTTTATTTAGAGAGGCATTCACTAATGTGCTCTTCTTAAGTATCTCTTGAGGTAGCAGAAGACACTGGGGAATTGTGTTATTGTCTGGAATCTTTCCTGCTTGCCCTCTAAATGCCAGCCAACCCCTTTTTACCTCCCACCTCCCAGGGTTTTCAGGAATACAAAACTGACTTAGGTGGAGTGCACAGTGTGGGGCAGGGCTATGAATCCTACCCCTGCAGACTTCTATCTGTGGTCTATAGACAGGACCATGTGCTGACTCTTAGAGGAGGGAGGACTTCCTGTACAGAAAGATGGCGAATCCAGAGCTTTTGTAAATTGATCTGGAAATTCTTTGCTTTGGAAGTGAGGAGGATTTTTAACGTTTTTTTCAGAAAAAAGTGGAGGTGGTTAACTGTAAGGCTTACAGGAAAGGTCACGGGGACAGCAGCTAGGTATTTATACTGCCAGGTATATAGAAAAACTGGAGCACGTTTATCATTTGTTGATATGGCTTAATATTCCGAAGGACTGAAGGAGCAAAGCATTAGATAGTGCCCGTTTTGCAGCCTTTTGCTTTCTAATCTCCTTATGGGAGGCAGTGTAAAATCAATCTACAAATGAATGAGAGTTAGTGGAGTCTAAATTCTATTTTCCAAAGCCAGAGAGTTCATAACAATGGTGTGGGTTTTTTTTTTTTTAAATTTCAAATGGAAAGTGTAACCTCAGAACGCAACACAGCAATTGTTTTTTAAAACGGTTATTTATTATTTCCTAGAGAGACTGGTTAACTGTAATGTAGATGTAACAAAATAATGAGGCGAATGAACCCTAACTGTACATACTCTTGACAGAAATGAAATGCACACAGCATCGTAGCAGGTGAAGTGAAGCATTGTCTATCAGGGCTGTTTTTCTTGGCTGCATCTCAGATTGTGTGGGGGATCCTAACCTCAGGCACAATAGCATTCATAAACAGCCATACATTGCTGCTCTTTCTCCAACGACACATAAATACTCATTTTAAAACGAAAACAATCTTATTAAATACCATTCATTCATATCTGGATTTACAGATGCTTGTTATGTTGGAAAACCTGAACCCAACATAATCCCTGCATCCTGAGAAAGACAGAAAGGAAATAGTGGGTTACAACATTACAAGGTCATAATAAACAATGGTTTCCAAATGCAGAGAATTAGTTATTTTTATTCTGTAGTTGGAGATTTTGAGCATGCTGATACTATTAATCTTTCTTTATTTATTATTACAAAAATAAATAAAAATAAAAGAAGTTATAAATATTTTTAAGGGGTGAGAAGATAAGAGGAGTTACTGTTTTAAATAATTTTTATTGGCTTTGTGTATTTTGCCTTTCTCTTTTGTGCCCAATGTAGATAGACTTCTAAAAATACATGGTGATTACTTGACACTTCGGGTACTTATATACTAACAACAGTGGTTCTTCTTTGGATAACTCAAATCAGGGTACGTAGTTGAACTATAAGGACGCTTGCTAGGCTATGCTAATTACTATGCCCAATTTTTATGGAAGCAATGCTCTTTCCAGTTTTAGTCATCATTACCCCCTCTCTTCTCTAACACCCTTGAAAAATCACAATCCAATCCACTCCTCCCCAAAATCAAATATGAATATAATTTGAGTTCTTGATGGAACTACCATCAGGACCGCAATGCCCCGCAGCTGAAATAATATTTAAAATAGAAGGGATTTGACATTTGAGAAGTCAGTGGCTTGAAATACCCAGTTGTACTTAGCTAATTCAGTCCTTAACCTCTGGTTTCAAATAAATCAATTACAGTCAATTCTACTTCAGTTCAGAAGTGCACCGGGTTTTAGTTAATTGAATACATTTTATTCACTTGCTAGGAATATTCATTTATCAAAATTCTAAATTTAATGTACATTTCTTTACAGCTCAGGTTATGTTAGCCTGCACAATCAGATCAAATGTGCCCTGGTTTCCCCAAATCCTGTTTAAAGTCTAAATTTCATCACTCTGTCTGAAATCATGTCTCCCCATTCTTTTCTCAACCAAAAGTAAATTCACAATGATTCTATGTCAAGGAGGAGAGCTGCCTTTTCCCACCAAGAGGAAATCATACGTGCTCATCTCATCGACCTTGTGTTAAGTTTAAATAGGTTCAGAACCAAGCTGGATTAATTAAGTTTTTAAAAGTATAGACCTGTTTTTTATTTATTTATTTATTTTTAATGTGCATGGTTTCCATTAGAGCTTAACTTTGCAGCAGCTGACAGGTATGACTGCATTTGTGGTGTTAAAGCCACAGGCCCCTTTTCTTAACCCTCTCTCTTCCTCTGCCTCCCCTAGCCTTTAGAGACATGCTTGAATAAAAAATTGTTAACTGAAAGCTCTGTGGTTAAATGTGCCCAAATGAAGTTGTGCTTTAAACAGATATTGATGTATGCAGTGTTTTATATTTATTGTTTGTAGCATCCTGCTGGCAGCAGTTTACTGTTTGGAAAGGAAAGGGGTTAATTAGCGTCATTATCAATCACTAATGCTTGCCTAACGTGTCCAAAGAATAATCAAGTTAGAGGACGGCATGAAGCCAACAGCTGCTTCATCCCAGTTACAGATCTCCTAAGCCACTCAGTTATGGGGTGGAGATAGCTGGAATGGGGGAAGAATACTCAGGGCTTGGGTAAAAGGGCTATAAAAATCAGGCCAACTTGCTAGAGATCTGAGAGATGGAAAGTACAATATAAAAAGCAGTGTTTTCATTCTCTGAGTTACAGGTGCAGGGATGGTAGTGGTCCTGAGGCAGGAGTACTGAGACATATTCTTTGCTTGATTACACAAGTTGGGCATTTGAAGAAACACATTAATATTTCCTATCATTTATTGCTACGTGGTAAAAAAAAAACAGAAAGAAAGAAAAGAAAAGAAATCTAAAGCTCAAGGAAAGGAGGAGCAAGACGTGGAGGAAGAGAAGAAGGAGGAGGAGAAGAAAAGAAGACCATTCACACCATAGGAAAACCTAGGTCAACTCCTAACATCACCTAACTACCCCATCCCAGAAGAATGAAACCACAGAACAGACTAGGTAATGCCAGTTCTCACACCTCTGCATCAACTCTTATGATGCTTAGGGATATTTTTCCTTGAGAATTTCAACGAACAATTCTTTTCTATATTAAACTTGGTAGTTGCATAGGTATGCCATCTCAGCTAGCTTCCTTTTGTTATTACTATTATTAATGAACTATCCTCTCTCTGACCGATGGTGGGAGGGAAACACAAAAAGTTTAACACTGTTATTGGTTTCTTTTAGGAGAGGCTTGTCTTAAAAACAAAAAACAAAACAAAACAAAACAAAAAAAAAACAAAACTGCCAAGTTAGCAAGAGTCACAACGAACCATTCCATTAATGACTAGAGTTTGGTCACCTTCCCGCATCCACCCTTCGCCCCCTGAAGTCAGGGATGAATTAGTCTTAGGTGGAGTATTTATAAATAGTATGAAGGAACAGGACATTGATTTCTTTCTATGAGGGAAGTAGCCAAAACTCATCTCTTCCTGTTTGAACATAGATAAGAAATATTTCCGGTCTCACTCCTACAGCAGTACCTGGTGATCCCCCATCAAAAGCAGCACAGAGAACATCAGAGTGGCAAGAGAGAAGGATTTGGGGATGGAAATTACATGATTATTGTATATGGGATGACATTCTGTTTTTTTTTTTTTTTTAATCATATTCTGCTGCTTATGATCATGATACAAAAAAGAAAGGAGAGGGGAAAAGAGACTTTAGGCTGAATTTGGGGCTTCTGAAACTAAACTTCAAGTGTCATTTCTGTGTAAAACTATTTCTTTTTTATCTGATGCCTGGGAGCTGGGGAAGACTGGAAGCAGAAAGGAAGAAAACCAGCACAGGGCCAACTTTGCTCTCACTTAAACACAAACTCTTAGAGAAGTTTATTTCTAACAAAAGAGCAACACTTAACATATTGCTGAAGAAATCTATGGTTAGAGGGGAGAGCTCAGGGTAGATGACCTTTCCAAAGGAGATTCCTCTTTCTGCTCCTCTTTTTTTAGCCAGAATGACTCTGGCAGTCTTTAGTGAGGACTTCGTAAAATTAGTTTGTCTTTCTATAGCAGTGTCGGCTTAGAGGTGGGGATATTTTCAACAGCAGGGCGGGGCTTATTTATTTATTTAACTTGGCCTAACTCTAACGCTATGCTATCGCCACATAGCATTTTTCCGTGGAAGCAAAGACTGTATCAGCTGAATTCCAGTAACTATCCTAAACGCAAGCCCTCAGACTGAATGTGGAGTGTCATGGTACCGTAGCTACTCGATCGTGACCCGCAGTTCGGTTGGTCATCTTGACTCTCACTTTTGCAAGTCGGAAAAGCCCCAGACTTTCTCCTGACTGGGCAAGAATCTCTCTGAGCTTTCGATTGAGTTTTGTTTGTGTTTTTCATTTGTTCATCACCTTTTGAATATCCAACCAATCTGGAGGATGGAATATATATAGATAGAGATAGACCTACCTACAGTGCATGTATTTGACCAAACTAAATTTAACTACTATAAAAGAGTTTTTGTTTCCTGGGGCACTAAGTTAATAGCAGGGTCAAATTTCCATGTGCTTTGTCACTTCCCAAATCCTATTTTAAGATTCCGCCCACCCACCCACCCCCCG